CCCCCGAATATCTGCGGGGCTGCCCGACGTCTCTGTGGCTCCCACGTGAAGAGCCTTTTCGCGGGAGAGGAGGGCGAGAGGATGCCGCGTTGACTGGATGCTTTTGAAAGAAACCTGCCGCGCTCTGGTGGGAATGGGCGCAGCCGGAGTGACTCCGGATAGGGAGCGGGGACCAGGGGTTTTCCACACGCTCAGACGCCGCATCCCTTTCAGAGCTGGGACGACGAAGGCCAGAATCCCCGGCCGCACGCCCTCCCAAATAAACGGCGCCGTGCGAGGCCCTTCCCGGTACAAACACGTGCTGCGGGAAGGGTGGGGAGCCCGCCCCGCGAGGCCGGGGCAGTCGGCCATACGAAATGAAGCTGAAAATTGCTTCCGCTGCTCCATTTACCCTTTCTGTTTCGAGGCCCGGCGCTGGTGCGTGTCGCGCAGTGAACCCAGCGCGGCCGCCTTGCGCTGCCATCCCTCCCCCAGCCTGCACCGTTCCGCCCGGGCGCGCCAGTTGGCGGAGACCGAATCCCTGCGCAGCGGAGATGGGGTGCAGCGTTTAGGGCTCCACCCGGCCCAGGGTCCCGTCCCCTCCCCGCCGCAGAGCGGGCCAAGAGAAGCCGCGGCGGGGGAGCAGAGCGGAGAGGCGACAGAGCCTTTGCAAAGCGCTCTGGCCCTGGCCGGTCCAGGGGGTCTTCTACGCCCCACATCCCCGCTCTCCCGCCTGGCTGTGCCGGCCTGGCCTGGTCCTGGCACCCCTGGAGCCGCCTGAAAACCAAGCACCGGGCCGTGCCGGCTCAGGGTCTGCCCAGCGGGTAGGGCCAGGCCAAGGAGGGGCGGCCAGGGGCTAGGCCAAAGCTGGAGACCGGGGGCAGCTTCTCCCCAGCGGTGTAGATCCCCGGGGTTCCCCCTCTTCCAGGGGCCCTCCCAACCCCTGGGGGGCAGCAACCCCAGGCACCACCCGTCGCTAATGAAATCTCCCATCGATCGCTCCCCACGGGCTGGCGGTACTGGGAGCTCGGCGGGCCCGGGCTCGCTCCGAGACCCCGCAGGGCAGCGCCCCGATTTCCAGCCCTTGGCAGCGTGTAACAGCCCCCCCCCTTCCTCCGGAGCACTGCGAGCGGGGCGCGGGGAAGCGGCATCTCCCGGCCCCAGGCGCCGACGTTTGGAGGGTTTCCCCACCCGGGTCAGTCGGGGCGTCCCGAGTCCGGGGCTGCTAAGGCGGGCCCGGCTCAAGTCCCATCCCCGTCTCCTCCCCGGAGCGCTCCTGGGTCCCCTCTCCCAGTCCAGTGGGAGGCGAGGGGAGCACAGAACTACTCCTTGTGCTCTGGATGGCTGTACGGGAAGCCCCACAACGCCCCGAGCGCTGGCGTCTGCCGGTCTCCTGACCCCCTGCCCGGGATGCCAATGCTCGCCGGGCCCGCACCAAGCGCCGCCGGACGCCCGAGGGCTGCCCTTTGCTCGGGAACGGCTGATCCACAGATAATCCCTTTGGAGAGACACCCCCGGCAAGCCCAGCGCGGCCACTGCCCGCCGGGAGAGGCACCTTAGCCCGGAAAACGCTTAAGCATCCCCGGCTTGACCCCGCTCCTACCCCCGACTAGTTCAACTGCGCGCCCCATACACAACGCGGTGGCTCCAGCCCTCGCTTTCCAGCACCAGGTAGATCTCCGGGCTGTGTGGGCACGTACAAGCATCCCCCTGAATATATGCACGCAGGCAGATCTATGACCCCCGCCTAGAGATTCATACACACCGCGTAGGAAAACCGCTTCTGCACAACACACGGGAGTCCCTCCGGGTAGAGAGGGAAACCGACTTATTTATTTACAACTGCTTTAAAAATCAGTAGCGCCGTCCTACCTGTTCGGCCAGCCCTGGGAGTCATGTAGGTTTTCTCTAATTCCATGCTGGTTTTTCAGGACTTGGAGAAATGGACAGAGAAAAAAAAAAGTTTCCACTTTTTTTTTTTAAGGGTCTGCTTGCAGGTTGGAATAATTCAACCCTTCCGCTCCCCGTCGAGCTTTTCCAGCTGATCACTGAGCTGAAACTAAACGTTTTAGGTGGAAAAAAAGCCTCCGAAGGAACCGTGAAATGATTAAGGAACTAAAGAGCTTCTCGCCATGTGAGATCATGTCCTGTTCTCTAAAACATCACAAGATGTCCCCAGACGCAGCCAAAAACCAAGAAACTCTGACATCTGTTGTAGCAGGAATCAAAGTTTGTTTGCAACCAACTGCCTTAAAGTCTGACTTTAGCTGTTTACAGAGCAGCGTGCGAAAGGCGGAGGCAGAGGGGCGCCTGAGAGTGTTACTGAAACAATATCAGGCAAGGGGTTTAATGTATGGCTGGGAAAATTAAAGTGCCTGATCAACTTTTCATCCAAATCAACTTCCCGAGCATTAAATGGGCAACCAACACTAAAAGCTGATGGGGACACACCGGGAAATCATTTTTCCTCCGAACCCTATTGTCGGATTAAATATTGTATTAGAGGTTTCTTACAGCATTTTATCGAATACTCACTTTCAAGGGAAGCGAACTTGTCTTTGCTTCACTATATCTGCGTGGATAATCAGACCAAAATTAGTCCCTTATTAGGGATCCCTTTTTCCTAATATCAGCTTCTTGCTTTAGAACGGAACCTACTAAAAAATAGCCCAGATGTCCCTGAACTAAAATGGGTACCGCCAACAATAATCTTATATTTGATTTAACAAAATAGGAGACTGTGCTAGGCTTTTTCAGAGGGAATATTTAATTACCCGGTGCTCTACAAAACTGTTTCGAAATACCAGTCATAACAATAAAATGAAGCTCGGCTCTAGACAATGTCCTACAGGCCCCAGGAAAAATAAAAACGTGAAAAGACCGTTCTATTTCGTGTCGCCATTTACTTTATTTTTTTTCATTAAGACATTAAGGGAAATGTTTCCTATTTTCATTTAAAAAAATCTAACACATGAGGCATTTCAAGTATTGTGATTTTACGCAGAAGCAAATCTGCTGTGGACAGAGAGATTTTTCTGTGTCTTTTTATTTTCACCACGTGTGTGTGTCATGTTTTACTGTCTATATATTATGTGTGTGCGCGCGCACACACAAACACAGGCCTTAAAATTGTAATCAAGAAGGGATGATGTTCGTTTTTAACTGAAAATTAAATATCGGACTCAAAATTATTTCAAAGAAAAGCTTTTGCACTTTAATCTCCTTCACTCTTGTAGCAAATCTGATTAATTTTGAAATATTCATGCCTGTCGAAAATCTACTTGTTCCACGAGACAGCTAAGCCACCCACACTTCGCTATCTGCCATTACAGCTGAACTTGGTATCAAAATAGTTTCTTAATCTAGACACCTTATTTTTTTTCCCTGAGTGCAGAATAGGTGGATGCTTCAATGGATACAGATTTTTAGAAAAGCGAAAGCCCCTCTCTAGCATATTCAGTGAGTGGAAAGGGGAAAAAATGTTGAGAAGGGTCGATATCGATTTAATGGTAAACGATATATTTATGCAAAATATTCTTTCAGCGTGCAGAAGGTGGTAAAGGCATTTTCTAGTGGGCTAAACTTCTACCTGCCTCTGTTACAATGAAAAGGGCGGAAAGTGAATCTTTAAACTCCAGCCTTGAGTAAACGTAGCAGACACACACTCCAATCTACATTCAAGCGAACACAGGAAATGTAAAAATTCGGAGCAGCCATATACAATGAAAAGGGCTGCGAATGCCTCTCCTTCGAAAATACAAGTAATTCCTGGATTCTTTTCGCTGCCTTCTTAATGTATTAGTTACTGCTATTCTTATTTTCCCCAGGCAAATTAAAACGCATTTAATATTTCCTCCCCTCCTTTGCTCGATGAAAGATGTGCTCTGGCTAGAAATCAGGTTTTGGAATCCAATTCACCTTCCCAAGAGTTCATATCCCGACGTGGTTTTCAAAGAAAGGAAAATAAAGCACACCCATTTCATGTGGCATATTAATTTAATACATTAAACAAGTATGAATAGTTACAGAAATATGCATATTCCGTAGAACGGGTTTACACTCTCTATCAAACGACCTTGTTGTTTGGCTAGGCGTAGAACTGCTTTTGAACCGGGAGTGAAAAGTAAGTGCTTGAGAAAAAAAATCCCTACGAATACGGAAATAAATTCATAGGTAATTTTTTAAAAATATCACACAATATTTGGTCCTCACATGAAGTAACCTGGGGCATATTCCTATAACGTAATTGCGTATAAATTCTTTCAAAATCTACATTTATTCTAGATACATTTTTGAATATATCTATTCTTCCAAGGCCAACAAAACAACAAGCCGTTTCTATTCCATGGGTTTGGCTTTTTAAGCTAATATGCTGACCTGCTCGGTCTGTAAAAATATTTATCGGCCCGTGGTTCGATTGGTCAGTCAATGTCACAGAAACATTGGTGACCGCGTCATGGAAATAAAGGGGCCCGAGCTGCCTGATGCATATTTTTGTTTTGCCTTCGCCTCTTTTTTTACTTCCCTTTTTCCTAACGCTCTTTGCTCTCATTTGTTTATATAAAAATACAACAGCGCAAATAAGCACCCAGCGACCCGCCTGCCGACCCGGAGACAAAAGCAGCGCCCGGCTTTAGAGCCAGGGCTCTGCGGTGTGAAGGGGACCAAACACTTCGCCTGACCTTCAGCACAGCACGGCCAAGCCCACAGCACCGATACACATGGGGAGGGTCTCCTGGCTTTCTCTGCTTGAGGCGGATAACTTGGGGGGGGGGGGCTTGGCGCGGGTAACTTTATGCCAATATTCCACACAGGTGTGCGGATCTTTGCTCCCCAGCTCGGAAGTGTGGCATGGGGGTGCGGGGGGTGCGTTAGTGCCAGGAATCAAAGTAAGACTCTGGGAGCCGGTAAGGAAGTGGGAGC